AAGTGGCTAGGTTGGAGCACCGGAGAGTCAGTTCGAGCGACTGTGTGGTTACCATGGGTTAGTATTATATTTTTGATCCTTAAATAAAGGTACAGATCTCTCAAGTCTAACCCCAGTTCCTCTTTCAATTCAGGGAATGGTTTCACCGCATCTCCTGACATTAAATCCCTCACTAATCTCGCTCCCTTGTTAAGCCATTTGCCCACCTGTATGCCTGGGGAGTAGGCTGCTAGTGTCGTGATGGGTGCCTCCCTAAATAACCGTACTGGGTCCAGTACCTTCGGACACCAGGTCTTCCATGCTGTAAGCATAGTGATCGAGCATCTCAGGGTCATGCCCGCAGATGTTCGGGGCGTGGAGCATGTCCACAAGTAATGGACTGTGTCGTGTGCCTCTAGGCATTCATTTTCTAATGACAGCCAGAGCGGTTTACAGGGGAGATTATGGATCCTAATGAGTCGCAGACCTTGTGCCAAGAAAGAGGCCCTGTAGTATGCCGTTACATCCGGCATCCCCAGTCCACCTTGGACGTAAGGGAGACCCAGACACCCTTTATTCACTCTCGGGGGCTTCCTCTTCCAGATGTGTGCATTGATCGTGCTTTGGAATTGTTTGAGCAGCGCAGTCGGGAGGAATATGGGCAGGGTTCTGAATAAGTATAGTATGTGTGGAAGTGTCATCATTTTAATTAGATTAATACGTCCTAGCCAGGAGGTATCCATGCTAGCCCACTGTTCGAGGGAGGATTTGATTTTCTTTAGCACGGGGAAGTGATTTTCTTTGATCACCGTTTGAAGGGATTTGGTGAGGTTTACACCTAAGTATTTTAAGGAATTGGTGCGCCAATCGAAGGGGTGCTGCGGTTTTATCCTTTCTAATGTAGGTTTTGGTAGGTTTATGGGTAGAGCTTGCGTTTTGGTTATGTTGTTTTTATAGTACGATACCTTCCCATAGTCTACCAGCGTTCTCATGAGATTGGGAAGGGAGGACTCTGGTTTTGTAACAAACAGCAGTATGTCATCGGCAAACAGAGCTAGTTTCTTTTCGCCCCCCTGGGTATGCAGCCCATGTATATTGGGATCATTTTTTACTATTCTTATTAGCGGTTCCAAGCATAGGATAAATATTAGGGGGGAAAGAGGACAGCCTTGTCTGGTGCCATTACATATGGCGAGCCTGTTAGATACGAAGCCCGTGCTAAAGACTTTTGCTGAAGGGTTTTGATACAGTGCCATTATGCTCGAACTAAAGTTTAGTGGGAATCCCATTCTGGTGAGGGTGAGTGACATATACCTCCAATGTAGGCGATCGAACGCCTTCTCAGTGTCAAGCGCTAGCAAGAGTCCCGCTTGATGCGAGACGTTCGCCCATTCAATCAGGTTCAGGAAATGTCTAGTGTTGTCCCCTACCTGACGCCCCTGGACGAAGCCCGCTTGCTCCTCCGAGACGAGGTCTGCTAGGATTGGTTTAATTCTGGTAGCGAGGAGTTTGGCATACAATTTGGTGTCTGCATTCAGGAGGGAGATCGGACGTAGGTTTGCGCAGTGTGTGGGGGGTTTGTTGGGTTTGGGTAACGTCACTATATGTGCCTCCAGCATTTCCGTGGGCATATTCCCTGCAGTTTTTATGTGATTGAATAGGTTGGTGAGAGGCGTGAGTAGTTGTTTGGTCAGTTTTATGTAGTAGTAGTTGGATATTCCGTCTGGTCCGGGGGCCTTATGTTTGGGGAGGGATTTGATTGCTATTTCTACTTCGCCCTCCGTGAAGGGGTTCTCCAGTTGGGTTCGTTGCGCTTGCGTTAGACTGGCTAAGGGCACTCTGTCTAGAAAACGTACTATCTCGTCTTCCGTCGGTTGGTGTGTGGAGGGATCTTTTTCTAGTTGATATAGTGAGGCATAATATTTCGCTAGTTCGTTCACTATGTCTTGGGGGTTGTATAATTTATCCCCAGTTGTGGAGGTTATGTACGGGATTTTTAGATTGCAATTTAGTTTGTTTCGCTTTATTGGCCAGCATTTTCCCAGCTTTATTACCCATAACATAGTATGATTGCTTCAAAAACCTCAGGTGTCTTTCTGTTACAGCGAGGTTGAGGCTATGAAGTGTTGTGCGAAGTGACATCAGTCGCTTATGTGTTGCTGTTGTAGGGTTTGTTTTATGGGCGGATTCTACTAAGGCCAGATCTTTCTCTACCTTGTCCAGTGTTGTGTTGTGCAGCCTCTTTGTTCTAGCCCCTATCTGGATTAATTCTCCCCTCATGACAGCCTTATGGGCCAGCCATTTTGTAGCGTCGGATGACGAGCAATCTACGTGATCAGCGAAAAATTCTTCAACCCGGACCTGTAGTCGTTGGAGATGTGCCGGTACGTCTAATAGACTTTCATTCAGGCGCCATGTGCCTCTACCCCTAGCTGGATACGGAATTCGCATAGTGACAACATATGGGGCATGGTCGGACCACGTGATTGGCCCAATGTGAGCCTTAATGGCGAATGGCAGTGTTTTGGTGTCAAGTAGACAAAGATCAATTCTCGTGTAGGTCCTATGGACCGACGAGTAATACGTGTAGTCCCTCCCGCTCGGGTTCAGGCCTCTCCAGGTGTCATAAAAGTTATGCCCATGCAATAATTTCCTAAAATGTTGGCCTAGTGAGATTGAATGTTGTTGTGGTAATTTGTTCCCCTCTCGTTTTATATCGACATCGGGATCTGGAGCGCAATTAAAGTCCCCGCATATAATTGTGTGGCCCTTTCTGAACTTGTCAATTGTCCTAAACACTTTGCTGAGGAAGGTTTTTTGTTTATCGTTCGGCGCATATATGGAAGCTATAGTCACCGCTAAACCATTTAAGGAGCCCACTAATATTAGTATTCTCCCATCTCGGCTGGCAAATTGATTGGATGGCGTGAATGCCCAGTCCCTATGGAAATAGATAGCAACTCCTTTAGCCTTAGTGCTTGACATTGCGTGGTATCCTTGAGGATACTGTTTGACATTGAGTGTGGGATGTTTCCTAATACAGAAGTGCGTCTCTTGGAGGCCTATAATCGCTGCCTTGGACTTGGTCATTTCCTGTATTGCTAGCCTCCTTTTGTGTGGGCTATTGAGACCCTTAACGTTTAAGGTTAGGATTGTCAGAGAGTCATCCATGATCCTGGTGTAGTGTTATGCTATGCTGGGGCCGTGGGACGGCATTCGCTGCCTGCGACATGCGATACGCTACTGATCTGGGACTGAAAGGGGGGGATGTAGGGATGATGGACATAAAAACAGGGAGGGAAAAACAATAACTTAAGTATGTACAAAGCGCCATGGAGAAAACTAGCGCTCTACGTGGGTGAGGTGTGAGCGGGCAGACTCTGTCCGTCTCACGTCTCATCCTGGGGACGCACCTGGGAGATTCAGCCGAGTGCGTGACGGCTTTCTTCCAGTTAACCTTATTCCTACCCCACAAACACGTCTGAGATGTCCAGCCAGGACCCACCAATGGAACACTCACAAGACCCTCCCCTCCATCTTGCTATCATGGATATGTTATGCCGTCACAAAACCTGCATAGTATATATTGTCTGAGTCGTGACTTCTGTACCCCATACTTCCCACTTGCTATAGTGCTCTTAGAGATTGCGTCCCTACCGTCCCCATTGTATCTGCTCTGAGTCCCCACCCTCTGGGTTTTAACAGGTTTGGTCACTCCGCTACGTAATGCTTTACTCCTTGGGCAATAGGGATTCGCATATAATGTATCACAGTAAGAGGTTCAGAATAACATACTCACAATCCAGTTACATTTGCATGTCACAGAGCGGAGGCTAGTATTGGGTTAGAGTGTCTCTCAGTGTCCAATTCTACAGTGGGTTAGTGGTATGTCCCTGTTGGGCCCCGACTAGAGTTCTATTCTTTTCTTTGTGGCGAGCCCGCCATCTGCCAGTCAGCATGCGGTCCTCTCGGGGATGCTGTAGTCGAAGCGTCTCTCGGTTGTAGCGGGAATAGGCCCCATTCTTTTAGTAAGCGCATTCCCACCTCCGGTTCGTTGACGGTATGCGTTTTGGCATTCCTCCATATAAGTAGTTTTGTAGGATAGCCCCATCTGTATTGTATGCCGTTGTTTCTCAGGGACTTTGTCACGTTGATGAATTCTCTGCGTCTGCCCATGGTCATAGCTGACAGGTCTGCGTATAATTGAACACCCGTGTATGGTGCGGGCATCTCGGTGATTTTCCTCGCTGCCTGCAGTAGGTGGTCCTTCGTCTTATAGTAGTGGAAGCGAGCGACAACGTCGCGTGGCGTATCTTTATGCAGATTCTGCGGTTTCGGTAGTCTGTGGGCTCGGTCCATGAGCCATTCTGGCTCCGATATCTCCGGCGCCAGCGACTTGCACAGGGAAGTAAGGTATTGCGGCAATTGCTCTCTCGTGACGCTTTCTGGAATACCACGGAAGCGAATATTATTTCTACGTGAGCGATCTTCCATGTCCGCTAATTTTCTTTTTAAGAACTGTTGTTCACTCACTAATTGTTGTACTGTGTCTGCCAAGGCATCTTGCGCTGCGCATATGTCATCAGTACGTGTTTCTAAATTGTTTGTTCTTTCCCCCAGATCTGCTATTTCCTTCTTAATATCATTTGTGGCTTTTTTCAAATCAGACTGCAGGATGAGTCTAAAGTCTTTCAGCATTGCATAAAGTTTTCTTTCTGTAACTGGGGCATCAGTGTATACTTGCTCCTCATTCTCTGTGGGAGGGTTTGAGGCCTGTGAGGATTCCAGTTCCTCACCGCCGCCATCTTGCGCCGGCCGCGACCGGTCTTTTTTCCCGTGGCGGATCTGATCCGTCAGCTTAGTCTGCTTTGCCGGGGCCATGGGAGGTGAGGGGAAGATAACCCGCCCGTTTCTCACCGTCAGCCGGGGGGTAAGAGCTGCTATAAGTCACGCTGTAGCCGTCTCGGACCGGGAGCTCTCACTCCATGCGTCCGTTCCACTCGGCAGTCGGACACGCCCCCATAAGACTTATCTTTTATGATGGAGTAACATTTAGTATTATTTAGGGGTTGTTATTTAGCATGTATTGCATTTTGTATTTGCATTCTAAATGCACTCAGTAGGCTACTTGCCCCATGTCAAATTATCTTCAATTTAAGCATTATGACCACTTTTTTACATGTAGGGTATATATACCCAGGTTGTGGATAGCAGATCTTGGTCTTGAGAAAGTCCTCCAAAGGGGACGAAACGCGTAGATGATCTGCTTTCCGTCTTCTCTGTATTTCCAGCCCGGTTTCATCTATGGTCCGGGATTGATTTTCGGCAGCTGCTGTGATCGGATCTACTTACACATCCTATCTCGTGGTAGGGAGTTGGCGTGCTCCTCTAACCTCACACGAAGGTCGGGATGACAGGGTAAGTTGCTTTAGCTTACCCCCAGAGTTCTTTAACTCGGGGAGATTGTTCACAGCAACACCCTTAACCTAGACCCGGTTGTTTGGCGGGTTCAAGAGCTCCCTCCCCCAGGGATAGCGTATGTGTGTGGGTATCGCTTATTTTTATTTTTATTACATACTTTTAATTTTTACGTGCACATTTTACAGTTCCAATTGGTACACATTTTGTATCAGCGTTGGGGGCCTCACACTATGTGTTTCTGGACTTTGATCTGGACATATTGTTCCTGTGATACATTTATCATTACTGTATCCATATGGAATCATTTAATTTGTTTTTATATGTTTAATAAATACACTTTGTATGTATATATATATATATATATTGTAACAAACCACCTCTTTTACAGGTAGGATTGTCACCGATCTTGCAGTAACCACAGCCTTCTAGGGTATACAAAGTCCAGGACACCTTCAGCTCAGTTTTCCTTTTTATTCAGTAAGAAAGCAGGTACTTTAAATAATAACAAAAACAAACAAAATCCCTTGCTCTTACTTGAGCTCTTACTAGACAGTAATTGCTATCTGCAATTGGGTGGCTTTCCCACTTACCAATTTTCCAAACAAAAGAAATGTCTTTGCAATAAACACAATATCTCCTAGCTGTCTTTTTCTCCCTCACTCTGCAGCAGGCTGCTCTCTTCTTTTAAAGGCCTGTCTACTAATTGAGTAGCTACAGGTGAGTGCCAATTAGTTAACTCTTAAAATTCAGATCCAAGCTGTGGTCTGTTACACAGCAACTAGTGCTGTTGGAGCATTGGCCCACCCTGCTCTCCAAATACTCCGCCCCAGGGACCCATACCAGGTTTTGCAGAGCATCAGCTATGCATATTGCAAACTTTAACCTCTCTCCCTGGGGCATTTAACTGAAAATCCTCTGGTTGCTGTTTAGCAAATCAGGTCTGATGTATCTCCCATCAACCACTATTCCACCTTTACGCTCACATATCCTCCCCCCCAGCTCATACCCATGGGTTTGAGCGACCATGGAAATCAGGGAGTGTACCCTCGAAAGCCCATCAGCATTACCTTGTTGCAGACCAGCCCTGTGTTCCACAGTGAAATTAAAAGATTGTAAACTCAAAAACCATCTGGTTACTCTGGAGTTATTTTCCTTGTTCTGATACATCCATGTCAGAGGTGCATGGTCCGTTATCAATCGGAACTTTCTGCCTAGCAGGTAGTATTTAAGAGAGTCTAATGCCCACTTAATAGCAAGACACTCTTTTTCAACAATAGAGTAGTTCTTCTCATGTGGGTTTAACTTCCTGCTCAAAAAGAAAACAGGGTGTTCTTCACCCTGGTATTCCTGTGAAAGAACAGCCCCCAAGCCAACATCAGAAGCATCTGTCTGAACTATAAAGTCCCTGGAAAAATCTGGGGTCACCAAGACAGGATGGCTACAGATAGCTTCCTTCAGACTCTTAAAAGCCTTTTCTGCCTCAGGGCACCATTTAACTATGACTGGGGATTTTGCTTTAATAAGGTCTGTTAGAGGTTCAGCAATGGTAGCAAAATCTGGGATGAACCGCCTATAATATCCAATTAAACCCAAAAATGCCTTTACTTGTTTCTTTGTAAGGGGCTGTGGCCATTTTTGTATGGCTTCTACTTTGGCTACCTGTGGTTTAACCAAACCCCTCCCAATAGAATAACCTAAGTACTTAGCTTCCTCTAAACCAATCGTACACTTGGAAGGATTGGCAGTTAAGCCCGCTGAGCGGATAGCATCAAGCACCGCTTGAACTTTAGGGGGGTGGGATTCCCAGTCTGCACTGTGGATGATGACATCATCCAAGTATGCTGCAGCATAACGAACATGAGGTTTAAGAATTCTGTCCATCATTCGTTGGAATGTGGCAGGTGCCCCATGTAACCCAAATGGCAATACAGTGTACTGAAACAGGCCACTGGGTGTTGAAAAGGCTGTCTTTTCTTTGGCTCTTTCAGTGAGAGGGACCTGCCAGTAACCCTTTGTTAAATCCAAGGTTGTTAGATAACGAGCTTTACCCAGTCTTTCTATTAACTCATCAACTCTGGGCATTGGGTAAGCATCAAATTTTGAGATAGCATTTAACTTGCGGTAGTCATTACAGAACCTCCATGTGCCATCAGGTTTTGGCACCAATACAATAGGACTACTCCAGTTACTCTGGGATTCTTCAATGACTCCAAGTTTTAACATGCTCTCAACCTCTAAGTTTATAACCTCCCTCCCGGCCTCAGGAATTCTATAGGGTTTGAGATTAACTCTTTTCCCTGGTTCGGTTATTATGTCATGTTTAATCACCTTAGTCTTTCCTGGAACTACCGAGAAAACATCCCTATTTCTTCTGATGAAGTCTCTGACCTCTTGCTTTTGATGTACAGACAGAGTCTCAGATACGTTCACCTCTGGCTCTACTATAGGAGGTTCTGAAGTTTTTAAAGCAACCAGGACCTCCCTGTCCTTCCATGGCTTTAACAGATTTATATGATACAACTGTTCAGGCTCTCTTCTTCCTGGTTGTCTGACTTTATAATTGACATCACTCACTTTCTCTATTATTTCATAGGGTCCATGCCAAGTCGCAAGGAACTTATTCTCCACAGTAGGGACCAGAACCAATACCCTGTCTCCAGGTTGGAACACTCTGACTCTAGCATTACGGTTATAGCTGTTTTTCTGAGCCTGCTGGGCTTCCAGCATGTGTTCCCTGACAATGGGCATGATGGTGGCCATTCTATCCTGCATTTGAGCTATATGTTCAATTACACTCCTGTGAGGAGTAGTCTCCTGTTCCCAGGTCTCCTTAGCAATATCCAATATTCCCCTGGGATGTCTTCCATATAACAATTCAAAAGGAGAGAAGCCCGTGGAGGCCTGTGGAACTTCCCTAATGGAAAACAGTAAATATGGCAATAAAAAATCCCAATTTCTTCCATCAGCATCAATTACCTTGCGTAGCATACTCTTAAGGGTTTTGTTGAACCTCTCTACTAAACCATCAGTCTGTGGGTGATATACTGAGGTCTTAAGATGTTTAACCTGCAAGAGCCTGCACAACTCTTTTGTGACTTTGGACATGAACGGGGTCCCCTGGTCTGTCAGGATTTCTTTAGGGATACCCACCCTACTGAACATCAACATAAGTTCCTTAGCTATTAACTTTGCAGAGGTATTACGCAAGGGAATGGCCTCAGGGTAACGAGTTGCATAGTCCAAGATGACTAATATATATTGGTGTCCTCTAGCAGACTTTACCAGTGGCCCCACTAAGTCCATAGCGATCCTTTCAAAAGGTACATCAATTATGGGTAAGGGTACAAGTGGACTACGAAAAGTCTTGAAAGGAGCCCTGTACTGGCACTCTGGACAAGAGGAGCAATAGTTTGTAATAGCAGCAAACACTCCAGGCCAGTAAAACCTTCTAAGGACTCTCTCTCTAGTTTTTTCAACTCCCAAATGTCCCCCTAATATGTGGCTGTGAGCCAACTTTAGCACTATATTTTGGTAAGTCTGAGGAACCAACAACTGCTTAATGATGTCTGAATCCCTTTTCTCTACACGGTAAATTAGGTCATTTTGTACTTCAAAATAGGGGAACGGTAGGGCTTCTCCTGGCTGATTAGCAACCCCATTTACAACTTTAATATAATTTCTAGCTGTCACTAAAGTGGGATCTTCCCACTGAGCACTTTTAAAATTACCTGGACTGATTCCAATATCAATTAAGTCCTTATCTTTGTCTGCAGTATTAGTAGGCTCCTCACTAGTTTGAGCTGGGTTATCTCCTATTAATACTGGTTTAGGGCAGTACTTTCTCCTTTTTCTTATTTTTCCATCACAATGGTCAAAACCCAAGTCAATATCGGAAAAAGGGAACACATTATCCTCGGCCGATTGACTAATTTCTGATAAAGTTTGGTCCCTCTTTTGTACAGCTGCCCATAATTCTAGAAAGTGAGGAAAGTCTCTACCGATCACTACCTCGTGGGCTAATCTAGGTATTACACCCACTCGGTACTTTAAATCCCCATACTGGGTTCCAATATTTACTTCCGCAGTGGGGTATTCCTTTTTATCACCATGAACACAGATAATGCCTATTTTCTGTACATGATCAGGTTTTACACAAGGTATTACAGACTCTGCTACCAACGTAACCATACTACCCGAATCAAGTAATGCTTTAGACATTTTACCATTCACAGTTACACAGCATTTATGAGGGTTATTATCATAGTCATTGTTAACAGTACCATAACAGTTGAGCAAAAATGAACGTGCTCCCTCATCTTTGCCCATATTGCATTCCATAGGTTCATCCTTCAATGGACAGTCTTTGGCCATATGACCATCCTCTTTGCACTTGAAACATTTGACAGTAAAATCTGCCCACCAATTAGTTCCTCTCCCAGGCCTATTAGACCTGGATGCCCCCCTGGTGTTTTGTGTATAGAGCTGCAGCTCTTCAGCTCCCCTTAAACCTTGAACAGTCTTACCAGGTCTTGCAGAATCTTGGGGCTTAGGATTGCGAGGGTTTGCCTGTGAAGTAGGACATAGCAGTTCTCCTGCAGCCACATATCTTTCCACCAAGGCAATCAGTTGGTCAGCTGTATGGGGGTCACTTTGGCTGACCCAGCGACGCAGGGAAGCTGGTAAACCACGCAAAAACCGGTCCATTACTAAGGTTTCCACAATGTGGCTAGCTGAATGGATTTCAGGTTGTAACCATTTCCGTGCAAGGTGTATGAGGTCAAACATTTGGGAACGTGCGGCTTTGTCTGAAGAATATGACCATGAGTGGAACCTTTGGGCACGTACTGCAGAGGTTACACCCAGTCGTGCCAAGATTTCAGCTTTCAATTTGCTGTAGATACTTGCATCGGCTGGTTCTAGGTCATAATATGCCTTCTGCGGCTCTCCACTTAGGAACGGTGCCAGTATGCTTGCCCACTCACCAGTCGGCCATCCCTCCCTCTCAGCAGTGCGCTCAAATGCCAGAAGGTACGCCTCAACATCATCTGATGCGGTCATTTTCTGAAGATAGTGGCTCGCCCGAATCACCTTTGGCCCCTGGTATCTTCCATCAGGGTCTCCATTCAGTTTTTC